GGACTTAGTGATATTTTTTTTTCGTAATTTAAGGACTTAGTGAGGTACTGACACCTGCAAAAATTTATTCAGGTTCATGTGGTCTGGTCAGAACACTCGAAACCATATCGACGAGAGACGATTGCAACAAAGTTCTGTGACGTTCTAATCGTTTTAGAGAGGGCTGACGCCAAGGTGAGCTACATTTTCGAAATGTTGGGAGACGGAAAGACTGGGGACTATCGGGGCCGTGCTTGGTCGCTGCGAAGAAGGAGGTCCTATTAGGTCGAGGGGGTCCTACATGGCTATTTTCCATATTTAAGCGGCGCACACTCTATTATAGCAACTTTCTGACAGTTGATTGACGCTAATTTAAAAAACGATGGAGAAACTTCTGGAAAACTAGGGATTAGGAGGTCTGGAACTTTCACCTACTGTGGAACGTACAAACCCTCCTAACGCCTAGTCCTGTGACTTGTGGCTTAGGCTCTGATTTACAGATAAATAAAGGCGAACCTCATCAATCTTTTCCTTTCAGATGTATCGCGTTCGAGTTGAGACTGGTAAGCGCGTTGGAGTTTGGTCCACTTTATGATGGCGCTATAGTTGGTAGCGAAGAGCTGGCCGAGCTGGTTCGACTCACAGTGGTACGTATTTGGGGCATTTTTTGTTTTCTTCACCCTTATCCCTATCTGTATACTTCACGTATTAATTTTTTTAGATAAACGCCTCCCGTGCGTATCGACTTGCCCATAAAAATCATGTGCGACCGCTGCGCCATCGGGAACATGTATTCGCCCACGATACTATGCGTCATATGAAGAAAGTTCGGCTCAGTGATGCAATCAATTCCCTCTACATACCAACGATGACTGCATAAAGCTGAAGTTTACAAACTGCCTAGAAGTCGAAGCTTCTACTGCTTGAAAACGAAGCATTTGATAGTGAAAGTTTCCCAAGGCAGTATTCCAAGCCGATCTTTTCATTGCGTCCATTCGTTTTCATAGCAGCTTAAGCGCAAAGCAGCATTGATTTGTACTGGTAGTTAATAGTGATATCACAAAATAGTCATGGTTGTGCAGATACCTTTCTAGTTCCTATTTGATCCTTTGCTATAGCCCTATTATTCGATTTTCCCACTTTAGATGGAATGTTTAATCAAATGCTGTGATTTATCCTATGCCTTCTGTGCACAGCAGTGCGATATTTACCTATCTGCCTTGTTGTATCTAATGGCCTTAAAATCTCTTTGAATGTGCAAGATTTATTTTATACCGGAGCTTCTCTTTAGGTTTTGCGACATGTTGTCAAGCATAATGAAATTGATGCTAATCTAATTTATTGTAATAAACTTTATTTATCGGTTAACTAATTTATTCGAAATGTTCGCACCAGTGTTTTGCCACTAGCGTATCTCTTTGCATTCAAGGCTGGTATACTTACTACAAAGTTGGGGAAGGAAAAGCGCAGCTGGCTATAGTAAAATGCGTCCATAACTTGCAATTCGAGCGACTGTGTTGACAGCGCTCCACTGCCAATAGCTGGACCTTTGAGACTTCTTAGACAGCGTTCAGACTTCGCGACGGCAGCGCTTCGGTCGCGCGTTCGACGCGATCGATGCGCATGCTTTCGACTGCATCGATCGCGTCGAACGCGCGACCGAAGCGCTGCCGTCCGTCGCGAAGTCTGAACGCTGCCTTAGTCTCATTTACGCCTTGGGACAACTAATATTTATCTTTGCGTCTCATCTGCGAGGTCGTCGCGGTGATATTATGTGAGATAGGAATATTCGGTCTCCTTTGGTCTGCTAGTCTGCGCTTTGCTAAGAATAAACGGCGGGAAAGGCACGCATAGCGCCGTCGCATGCCTCTCTGGACTAAGTCAGACCCTTTTTTGACTAGTTACCTCGAATTGGACAGGAATGACCACGTAAGATAGGATGAAACATTTTCTCAGTGGTTTCTCGTAAGCGGTACGCCGCGACGATACTGTGCGAGAAGTGACGTCAGGACTACGGTCGTCTGCGCTCTGCCAAAACAGCCTGGAAGGTACACAGACGCGACGTCGCGTAGCCCCTATGAACTGAGTTAGCACTATTTTTCATCATCGTACAAGTTAAGACAAGTATGACCAAGTAAGAAGTTGCAGCGGTCCAACGATTAGCAGTGGGGCTCAGTTGCTCGCTTGCGTAGAGCAACAGAATCGCTCGAAGCGCGAAGAATGCATTGTGTGGGTGAACCTCAAAGGATTTTGACAGTTTTCGAGAAATTTTCTTTAGATTTCGTAGGTCCAATGAACATCTTACCGAAAAAGAAAT